GTACCAGGGTGGACACAAGCCCTGATGCCCAGTCTGGAGCCACTGCCGGGGCCACCAACTCAACTGTGCATGATACTGCCCACAGACACTGGGGACACAGATCCTGGGGCACCTCCCTGAGGTCCACAGGTGTCTCCCATGACACGCTGAGGTCTCCTGCTGGGAGTAGGTGCCGAATCCCATCTCAGACACTGGTTCCCTCTGCAGATAGGGAGATGGAAAAGCCCCTTCCAAGGCAGGAGGTCGTCGGCACAGCCCACCTGTGATGATGGGCCTATGGGGACATTCCCTGTGTCCCTCTGCGCCCAGGCCACCAGGTCAACCCCCACAGAGGGGGCTGTGATGGGGTTTTGGGGCCATCTGAGACAGGCAGAAGCCATGGACGCGTGAGCTTCACCAGGTCTCTGTCCTGGCTGTGGCCAAACTGCTGCCCCCGACCGGGCTGGCTGCACTCCCAGGGCTGCCTGTCCCTGTTCTCAATAAATGGGACCAAACTGGAACTATGGGTCCAGGACTGTGTGGTGGGACTGGGGCTGCGAGCAGGACCATGATGGGACGAGGATGGTGCATTGGGGCCTGGGACTGTGTGATGGGACCGGGATCATGCATGGTACCATCACTGAGTGATGGGATCAAAACTGTGGTGGGCCTAGGACCATGTGTAGGACCATGAGGTGGGACCATACTATGAGGTGGGACCAGGAACATCCATGGAACCAAGGTGGTGGGACCAGACCACGTGGTGCAACGGGGACCAGGGCAAACTGGTTGGACCAGGAACACATGCAGGGCTAAAACTACATGGTGGGACCAGCACCATGCAAGGGACCAGGACCAGGTGGATATGGGACCATGCAGTGGGACCTGGGCCTTGCTTGGAACCAGGACCACACGCAGGACCAGACTGAGTGGTGGGACTGAGACTATGTGGTGGAATGGGGACTGAGCGATGGGTGCAGATCCTTGTGATAGGACTGGGATGGTCTGTGGGAGCAGCCCCACACGTGGGACCACTGATTGGTTGCAGAGAAAAACCAAGCAAATCCCCAAAACCTGGCAGCACCAGCTGGGGCCCGTTGGCACCCAGCCCTGGTCTTTAAAGCCACCCCAGGTGGTGGTGCTGCTGCTTGCTGAGGATGGAGCTGTGCTGGAGGGTGCTGGTGTGTGTGGCTGTGCTGGAGGTGGCAGGTGAGTGGGGTTGGGACCTCCTGGCTGCTCCCCTCAGTTACCCCACTGGATCTACTGGGGGAGGTGGTTGGTGGCAGCCATGCCTAGGTGCAGGAGGGTGGTAGGTGCCCCTTGGTTTTGCCTGGTGCTGGTTCCTCGTGCCCTCCTGGACCTGCTGGTGCAGATCCTCTTGGTGGAGAGGAGCCTTCCTAAAATGACCATGTGCTCTGGGGATGTGGGGTGGGAGCAAGGGGGTTTGCTAGGAGCTCCCTGTGCCCCCAGGTCCCTGCGGACCTGAAAGGACCCGGTTTGAGTGGGGGGATTAGCACCATTGGTGGGGTACATGGTTGCTGATAATGGTCTCCCATCTCATGAGCAGTTCCTGGTCTGTCCCCAGCTTCAGACAGGGTCATGGTACTGGGGAACGTCTGGTGCAGCCTGTCTGCTCCCAGGTGTGCCTGGTGCTGAGGTGGCTGGGGACACTTAACCTGGCATTTTGGGAGTGTTGTGGAGACCCTTGTGGAGCACTGCCTCCTCTAGCACCCACCACCATCGTGACTACAGCGGTCCCATGCTGGGGCCTGGCCACCAAGACCGGGAAGGTCTTGGCTGGGGGAGCTGGGGATGGAGGAGCATCCTCATGTGTGCTCCTGGGTGCTCTCCACTCCTTTGTGCTGCTGCCACCTGGCCTCCATGGGTCACAGGGGCAGCTGAGGACCTGGATGTCCCCACTGTCCCTGGGACATGCTGCTCTAGCTGCTGCGGCCTCAGCCCTGCTGGCTAAACTCTCCCCTTGCTGCAGAGACCACCATGGCTCCAGCTGCTTCAACGTTCTCTGATCACACGGTGGCAGCTTCAGTGGTGTCCTCAAGCATGGGGACAAGGGCTGCAGTCCCAGTGCTTGCCACTGCCACCGTGCCTGGTGGGGCTTATGCTCACCCACACTCTGAGGAGCCCAGCGTGAACTTCACCTTGAGGCTCCTGGATGGTGAGTGCTCTGGGTCTTGTCTTGGGTGCCAGCTTTGGGGGAGGAGACCACGGGATGGGTCCAGCCAAGACCCAGGGGCTTGACCATCAGCACCCAGAGCTTTCTCATGAGTGCCCTCAGCACGAAGGTCCACCAGGAGAAGGTGACCATCCCTACCAGTCTTGTGGAGGGTGTAGGGCTTTGAATGGTGGTGCTTTGGAGATGTTCCCCATCCTGTTCTTGACCCCATAACCAGTGTTTTGGGGGTCAGCTGCCCCTTGTCATTCTGATGGGTGACAAGGTCATTATTGGCTCCCTGGGGGGGACCAGGAAGTTGCTGTCGCTCTGGAGAGCAGGGAGGGAAGCCAGGGTGAGGTGACAGAACCAGGACAGCTTTTGGCTTCCAGGGACAGGAGGTGGGCTCTGAAATTGGGGAGCTGCAGGCAGGCACCTGTCTCACAGGGGCGCAGGCAGAGACACCTATGGCTGGTGGTCTGGGATGTCTGATGTCCCTACCTGTGGTGGGACAGGCTTGGGGATGTCACGCTGTGCCCACCCTCCCTTCTCCTTCAGGGGACCCCAGTGATATGAAGAAGCCGCTGGTGCTCAGCGTTGGCTCTGCCATCCACCTGGAGGCCAGGGTTGACTTCAGTCCTGGCATCTCCCTCAAGATCTATGTGGACCAGTGCTATGGGACCAGCTTGGAGCAGCTGGGACACTCCAGGAGGATCTTCATGGTGGTTAACAGCCATGGGTCAGTGCCCATTGGGCGGGAGGTGGGGACTGCTGCTCCAGGCACTCCGAGGTCCTGCAAGACATCCTGATGGGGAAGGATGTCCAGGGCCTGGAGACAGCCTGGGAATGTCCCTGTGTTGCTCTCCTGGCTCAGGTGCCTGCACGGGCAGAAGCTGGGGCCCATGTCTGTCCAGCACCAGAGAGGGGTGTCTGCCCTCCAGCTCACCATCCCAGCCCCTGCCCTGGAAGATGAGGCCGAGGAAGAGGAGGTGCGGTTGGGGTGATGTCCGTGGTGGTGGGACGGAGGCCCAACTGGGGATGTCCTGGGGCATCCTGCTCCCTGCTGGGGTGGTCTCAACCCCACGGGGTTGGGTGGGAGAAGAGCAGGATCCTTGAGGAAGGACATGGTAGTGGCATGCCCTGCCTGGGGCTGTTGTCTTGGCAGGTCTACGTGCACTGCCTGCTGACGGCGTGGGGACCCGCGGGCACCCGGGGCCACAGCACCAGGTCCTGCTTCTACAGCCAAGTCACAGGCAGGTGAGCCCAGCCCTGGCACAGGCTCCCCGATGGGGGCCCCGGACCCGACCCCTGACGGCGTGGGGACCCGCGGGCCCCCGGGGCCACAGCACCAGGTCCTGCTTCTACAGCCAAGCCACAGGCAGGTAAGCTCAGCCCTGGCACAGGCTCCCCGATGGTGGCCCAGGACCTGACCACTGCTTTGGGACCAGACACCATGGGGCAAGGGGACCCATCTGGGGGACCAAGCCACCCCACCGGGGTCTAGATGCCACCTCTTTCCCCTGGTAGCTGGGTAGCATCATTGCATGTCCCAGCTCTGGTGGGTCCCTCTGGGTACAGATGAATTGGGGAGATGGTGGTGGGAGATAAAAGACCCCTCTGGGGTGGCCAAGACCTGCAGAGCTGGAGGGACCTGCTGGCATGGCACCATGTGGGTCTTGGGGTGGAGGCTCTGTCTCCAACCTCTGTCCTCTTCTCCCAGCTGGCACAATGCAGAGGACCCTTCCCAGAGTGCCCTGTGCCACTGCTGTGACACCAGCTGTCCCCCGGGTGACACCTTCCACAGAGAGCTGACAGGTACTGGAGCTGGGATGTGGTGGCCCCACACAGTTTTGGGGTCTTGTGGGGGAATCCTGGGGCTGGGACAGGCTGTACGGGCTGTGTCCTCCTGCAGGGTTCCCGGGAGAGGGGACACTCCACTGGAAGACAGTTGGACCATTGCTGGTGCAGCAGGAGAACGTGCCATGGTATGAAGGTGAGTGGACAACCCCAAACATCACCCCATGGCCCCAAACTGACCGTCTCAGGTGCCGAAGCAACCTCTGAACCCCCTGTTTGGTGGGGGGTGTTTTTTGCCGTCCCCAGGGCCGTGCCGCACGGTGAAGAGGTTCCTGCTGGCTGGGCTGGCCCTGGTGGGCAGCGCCCTGGTGGCAGCCACCCTGGTGGGAGCTCTGCTGGGACTGGTCTCCGCTGTCTGGCGCCTGAGCAGGCACCGGCAAGGACAGCGGCGGCGGCTGAGGCGGCAGTGTCCCTTCCATGCTGAGCTGCAGAGCGTGGTGGGGTCTTTGGTCCCCAAGGAGCCAGAGAAAAGGGAAATGGTGGCTCCAGATTACCACAGCCTGGAGGAAAGCTCAGCGTGAGCTGGTGACCCTCTTCCTCCCCAATAAAAGGTGGTTTTCTTTTCTCTAAAGCTTCTCTTGGTGGTACTGTGTGGATGCCACCACACCTGGAAGCCACATCTCCTGGTGGTACCTGTCTGGAGTACCAGGTGTGGCTTCCAGGTGTGGTGGCATGGCCCCAGGCCATGGTGCTAGGGGGGGGGGGTCCCGGCTTTGGGGGATTTTTTGGGGGAATTTGGGTCCCTGGAGGCACCACTGAAGATCTTGGACATAGTGGCAGCTCCTTGGAGATGGTCCACGAGGCTGGTAGTGCCAATGGAGGGGTTCCAGCTATGACCTGGGGGTACTGGTGGGGTGACCAGGGCTGTTCTGGGCTTGCAAGGACCTCCACATCCCAGGGTGGGACCCAGCCTTGACCCATATGTCCCCCCGCAGGAGGACACATGGCAATGGGTCCCCACCAGCTCTGGCACAGCCCATGGTGTATCCAAGCATCAACGCAACACTGGGTCAGGCTTGAAATGTTTTATTAGGACCAGCCATGGGGCAGGGTGGCCGCTCCGGGGCTGTCACCGGAGGGAGGGTTCACAGTCAATGGGTCACAGCACCCCAACAGCCGCAGTGTGCCTCAGGGTCCCC